AATAATATATTTAACTACCTGTATTTTTCCTCTGACAAATGTGTTTATGTCATTCTCATTTTCAAAGATTGAAAGAGTTTGCAACAAATTCTGTTCAAGCCATTCCCAGTGTTCAGTGATTTCCTTCCTTGAGCAACCTGTATATAAAAAAACAAACCCAAAAAGTCACATAATAAATAATTCACCAATGTCAATGTCCTCTTAATCATAAACAAAAGACTCTAATAATAAACTCGCCAGTAACTAGAGATGCAATATTTCACCAGATGCTGTGTCCCTGGAAATTCCAAAATTTTCTCCCATAGTCTTTAATTTCATAATAAATAGGTCACAATCTTCAAGATTATTCTGTGAGAAGCACAAGCTACTTATGTCAGTATCATGAGCAAACCCCTCTACATTTAGAATTCTAATCACAATAACGACACCAAGTTGCCCAACGTCACATTAAAGAGTTAGCAGAGGTATCACCTGCATCTGTTAGGAACTAACAAAAAATCCCAACAGTTGTATATTCTACCATTGTTTCCTAATTCTTCACTGTTATATACATCTATAAATTATGAAACAGTGACAAGATTTTCAGAGTAAAAGCTGAAAAGGATCGTTTTCCTGCTAAGTCTATTGCAATGTCTCTTCCTCAAAAGAAGAGTGCTGAAAGATCTCTAAGAAAGCTGTTTTTTTTTGGTTGTCAGAGGTGGTTTACTTTTAATGATGAAAGAATAAACTAAACTTCAATGACCCTAGTTTGCTTAGGAGACCAAAAGGGGTCAAGTGAGATATCTTTGATACTGAGGAATCAGCATACATGTAGTCTGTAAAGTAGTACAGAACAGGGATGAAAAAGCTTCTTGTATGAACTAGTTTATATATGCAAATTTTTTTGCTTCTATTTTACTTGAGATGGATCATAATAAATATAACTTCCATTTTGACCCCGTTCTTAACATCTTGCAGAACAAAGTTGTTAGTGCTCTTCAGGATCAATGTGTCCATCCTAAAGGAAGCACTCACAAAAAAAATGTTCCCCCCAAAAAAGGATGTTGAGAAAATTATGTTAAAACCAGGACTTTTAAGGAAGTAAATAAACAAAACATTACATGTTCACATAGGAACATCTGTACCTGAAGCTTGATTAAAAGTATCTCAATCCAGGTAGGAAATAGCATCAACGCTATGTCATCTTTTTGTTCAAATCACAGATTTGTCTGATTTTACTCAGAACTAGCAAGTAAATGTACCCACCTGCCAACTAATGCCTACAGAACCCAACAAAGCGAAGGGGCTCATGTGAAGCAGCCATTAGAAAGAGGTTAAATTACAACAAGCTGTTGCTAGTAACTTCTTCAGCTTTACTCCAGGCACAAATTGTCACATGACTGCACATAAGTGTTTCCATGATTTGTAGAAGAACTCAACGCAACCATCTTAAATACATACCAATCAGTCTCCTTGTTGTTCAGCAGTTAATGATGGGGGAAAATATTCTTTCTACAGTATACCGTTGGAGTTTTACACAACTCCAATGAAAGCAACAGAACGCATCATTCTGTGCAACTTCTAGGGGAATTTCACAATTCTAGTTGTGGTATGGATACATAAATCACATCACAGAACAGCCTGCATATGTAACCAATATTTCAGAACCACAGGTGATCGCCACTGCTGCTTCTCTTTAAAACTACTGGATGCAACCAGCCCTTTCTGGAACTCAGGAGGTGGTCTGAAGACTAGTTTATTTCTTCTGTCTTTTACACTGCTGTAAGAAGCAATGATGAAATACATGAGCGCTATATATATATATAAACCAGCCTGTCATCAGAAAAATTGCTCATCTCTTGAAGACCAGTGACAAGCGGTGCAACGACACACTATCATGATGAACTGTTTCTTAAAGCTATCTATTTCTCATTTGCAGTTCATCAGTTATTTTTCACCGCTTCTTATGAAACAGCTTTGGTTGATTATTCTCAACCTGTAACAACCCATCTCATTGTTTCCATTGCTTTTTGTCTCCATTATCTTACTGCTTACTCTCCCAGTCTCACTTACAGCAGATCATGCAATCAGGCCAAAACCTACATCCCAGCTCTCATCAATTTATCATCACAGTCTAGAACTTTCTTTTTACTTTGTTGACTCAGGATTAAAAAACACTTTTGCTGCAATGTTTTAATCTACAGGTCTATTTTAACTCTACTACTGGCAAGTTGTTGCCTATCTTAGCATATTAGAAGCATTCACTGTTGTGCCACCATTGGCCTTTTAGGTAAATTAAGCAGTATCTCTAACTTTCAGGGAAGGCGGAAAAAAAAAACCAAACCAAAAACATTTAACAGGTAAACCACTGCACTTTGGAATAAGAGCCCTCAAGACTCACAGGAAATAAAAGGAAAAATAGCTACAACGCACACAGTGGACTACTAATTGCTCCTTCTCCTCCTCCAAATGGTATGCTCAGCTTATGGTGTGCTCCGTGGCTGAAATGGTGTAATGCCACACAAATATTCAGTACTCAGGTGAGAGCTAGAGTTGCACTACCTTCCCAGTTTCCATTTCAAGGGAAGCCAGGTGCCCTGTCTGGATAATTTGGTGGCTATAACCCAGGTAGTTCTTCTACTATACTCTTTAGAGATACCCCGTTACCCAGAATGCTGCACTTTAGAAGTGCTGTAGGAGTGAGCCATGGGCATGAAGGACATCATGTAAGGAGGAGGGATGGATACTAGACTGCTTGTCTGGGAACATTTCTGGGAGATGAAGGATAGGAAATAACAGAGGCTTCTGTCCCTGCTCCATGACCATTTCTGTGCATAACACACACATGCTGGCATTCAAGGTCTGGAATATTAGAAGCTCTGGAGCTCCTTAATTTAACCACTAGAGCAGGTTTTCATCCTGACCCATTTATTTGTCCTGACTGTGCTCAGCAGGCAGGATGCTCTATTAGTTATCAGTATCCAGGAAGACTAAAAATCCACATGCTGGCATGTTTATCCTTACCACAGGCGATAGTCCAATAGACCAAGGAGTCTGGTGCTTGGTAAAGGATTCGATATGGTGCCACTCTGGCACTGGAGTCCAACACGACATCAAGAGTACCCACAAGGAGACCTAGGGAACAGGAAATTCTGATGAATGCACAGTGACGGATCACCCAAGATCCCACAGGAGGGGACTCCACAGCCCCCTCCTTCCATTTCACCCTCCACAGAAAAATGCAAACCTTCGTATTCATCCCCACACTTGTTGCCTCATGTTCTAAAGAGGGAAAGTGACTCAACAGGGAAAAATCTTCAGTTTCAGCAAGAGGTGGACTCTTAAATATACATTGATTCTAGCATAAAGGCAAACAAATTAAAGCAAAGCAGAAGGTAGCTGTTTTACAAAACAAAGCTATTTAGTTATTTTCTGTGTTTCATATACTGTTGGAGCCCTGGGGACCAGGGGATGGACGGACACGGACAACAAAAAATCCACCACCACAACACCAACAAAAAACCCTGGACAATATACCCTAAAAGGGTTCAAAACTCTAATGTCAGCTAGGAAAAAGTAAGACTTCCAGAAAAAATAATTATGCTACTTAATGGTCTGATTCCTTAGGGTAGAAAGGATCAAAATGCCTAACAGTCAAGTTTTTTTTCCGTGGAAAGGATACTGATGAAAGACAAAGCCATACTGTTTTCCCAAAGTAGCTTTGAAAATTCTTTGCTACTGAAGGGGCCATCAGCAGTTGCATACCAAATGCTAACAATAATTCCTAACTGTATTTCCACAAATTGTAGATCCTATTTTAATAAGAAATTACACACAAAACTCTAACCCACCCAAAGTCTCTCCCACAAGAAGCCCTATTTATTTTTAAAGGATGTAAGTTTTCACCCTTTTCAACTCCACAAAGAGTTTTCATCTCCCCTGCAGAGATGTCAGATTTAAATTGTCATGTTGAAGTTCTCAGCAAATTCACATATTGAAAACAGACGGATGAAATTTCAAAGATTTTTTGTTCTGCAAAATTTATTGGGGTAGAAATCAGGGGGCTTTTAACAGCTGAAATAAACTGCATGTACCAAAAGACCATTCTAAAACACTCCTGTTAAAATCCTCTTCTCCTTTCAAGTGGCTGTTTTAATCTTTTACTGTCATAGTTTTATTAGTTCCTCATTCTGCACTGTCATAACTGGTACAGAAGACTGCTTCCCTCACTGTTCTTCTTTCAGATTTGCTTTATGCATCACAAAGATATAAAAGCACTACCCATTTTCCATCTTAGTAGATCTCTTAAATCTGAACTGAAACTGATATTTGGAAATACCCTGCCTATCAGTGATTTTGTATCCCCCCATTTTGTTTTTTATTTGTATTTTGTTTTATACAGATCATCACATGCCAGATCAAATGTAATCTCTTCCTGCCTGATGCATTAATAACCACCATTTTTTAATCCAAGAATTCTGAAATACACAAGAAACAAGTGTGGACACAACAACAGGTCATTTGTCAGCAAGCAGTGTTAAAGAGCTGTCTGCTGATTATAGGATATGAACACAAAACGTTAATGTAAAATATCCCACTGTTCATTAGTCTAGCTAGCTTTAGTTGTTCCTGTTGCCATCTTAAACCCTCATCTCTCCTGCATTTTGATTACTCGTGTACACTGACAAGCTGCCTCTGATGAATCCTCCACCAGCCCTCCCAGATACTTTCAAACTCAGCAGACTGCAGTATGTTATAATGTTCTTTTAAACATTTTTTCTGTTACATATACTCTCCATTCTAGCTTCACAAAACCAGTATGGGCCTGGTCCAGAAAGCACATGTGTGCGCATTTCACAGCTACGACTGAGCTCAAGAGTATTGCTCAACTGGAGTGCAGACCAAGCCAGACGCTACACTGCGTTAATCATCTGGGTTTGCTGCAAACATGTAGTAGGGCTTATGCCAAAGATTCCTCATGCTTTACAGCTTCACATGTCTACTGACAGTACTAAATATGCAATAGGCATGATGTCATACCTAAATGAAGTTGTTTGCTGGCCAAATGTAGTCTTCTCTGAGGTACAGCTACACTGTTAAGTCCCTGTAATCTTTAAAAATATGCTTGTTTCTTTCCTCGTGCTGTATTTCCAAATCTGTTGGTGTGTGGGTGGCCCTATCTACCAATTCTGCATCTAGTTATAGGAGGGCACTGCAGCTGCAAAAACTGGGATACACAGCTAAGGCCAGAGAGCCAGAACAAACCTATTGATTAGTGCAGCAACATCAAGTTTAGAGGAGCTTCCCATCCTACCTCCTTCTCCTTGAGGTACTGGAGATAGGAGAGGAACATCCTCTTGCCCCAAACAGACACAATGTAGGACAGAGCAGTGTATTCAAGAAATGTGGAGACAGCTATAAAAAAACCCACCCCACAACAGAAACAACTATCCAGCACTGAAACAACAGATGGGAGGTAGGTAAGGAAAAGAAAGAATACTTTCCACTGGTGCAGTAAGTGGGAGATGCCCACTGCCTTTTCAGCAATGGAAACAGGTTGTATTAATATCCATGCAGTGAGGTTAAAGGAAGAAAATTCACAGAACTTCAGATGACCCCACAGAAATTCAAAGTCTAGCTTACCAAGATAATAGCAACAGACAGTTTATCAGTAAAATTTTGCTTATATAATAACTGTTTTGATAGATGGTATGCGTGATATTTAAAAATAATTTATGTGTACTTATGTACATTAAAGCCAATTAATATTTACTCTTGCAATCACACAACTAGCCCTGACTACTGTCCTTCAGGACCTGTTCCAATTTGCATTGTAGGTCAGTGTTGGATTTTTTGGATTTGGATGGGGGTTTTTTGGTTTTGTTTTTTGTAATACAGACATGTGATGCAACCAGAATGAAACCACAGCAGTTCAAACTGATAATCTCTCTGAGGAATTTCTACATGAAGTGATCATAATAATTTTCTTAAAATTATTTTACTACTGTTCATTAATTCTTCATATAGCACATACCTTTTGAGACATGATTAAGAAATAAGTAACCAAATGTTTCTATAGAAACAGAACAGGCAACAAAGAATCATATTCCTTAGATTAGACTGATCCTTGGCCAAAAGCCAGTGAATTACCCTGGCATCAAATCATGTGACTATACCGATTGCAATTTTTTCCCCCATTATTTCATCAGGTTTCTAATTACATAGTGAAATAAGGGAAAGAATTCCCAATGTAAGAATACTAAATCTGCAAGCCCTTGTTCAAGCAAGCAGTTCTCATGAGCAAAGGTTTAAAGCACACATCAAAATTTGTGGGATTAGAGTCCGGCTAACTGATGACAGCCCCAATCCTGAAGGCACACAAGCACAAGTAACCTTATACAAAGGAACAGTCCCATCAGACACACATGCTAAATGTCCAAAGTGACCATACCTAAATGTGAGGGCAGGAGGGGAAAAGGGAGGGATAATATCTTCATTTTATTTGATACAGCTTTCCGAATAAAGTCAGCTTCCTCTTTTACAAACTTGAATTCTAAAGCAAAGGCCCAGAAAATTGTTCAGTATTTTCTTTCTTTTCTGTAAAATATAGGTATTAGCAGAGGAACAGCAGTGAAATGTAATGTCTGAAACCAGGGAATACAAAGCCACAACTGGCTAGGGGGCCTGGGCAATTGCTCTTGCATCATATTACTGGAAGGACATACAATGCACTAGAGGGTATTACTGGAAAGGGGTTCAGTTACATGATGTAATTTATGCTGAAGGAAGAAATCATACTACATTTTACATCACTGTGCCTCACATTTAGTTGTAAGCTGGAGGGGGGAGCCCATAATCATTGCACAAAGTATACAGATTAGTAGTCTGTATTCATGCACTAAAGTATGATGCACTATACCTGTATCCTTACATTAGCAACAAATTTTCTGACTTTTTTTTTGCTAGAAGGGATTACGACTACACGAAGCCTGACCTCCTGCATAACACAGATCTCCTTTAAGCCAAATGATTTCTATCTGACCAAAGGGTATTTTCCAGAAAGGTAGGTCTTGATTTGAAAACTAAGCCAATTGATTCAGCCAGTTAAGATGCTTCCAAGCAGCACTGCACTCTGCTCTTTGGAGACCAGCATTCCAGATGTCTTACAGTCCAGATTGATTGCAAATTGCCCACAAATGGTAATGAAATCAAGGGATCACCTACAGTAGAATCAACTTGGTATATTGTAAGTTCAGTACTACCACTGAAAACACACACACTTTGGAGTATATGGACTCAAATACCTGTAATAAGCCACAATATTCTCAGCTGTTTGGATATCCACAGCACAGATCTTTGCTGCAGGAATATTTCTCCCTCTTCCTTTCTTTTAAAATATAACTAGTGATTATTTCTTTATCTTTCATAAGAATTTGCAAGTTTCTTTGAAAAAACACCAGTTACTGGTGGTTTAAAAGGAACACCAAGTTTATGCACCTTAGACATGAACAATCTTTCTTATTACAAAAGGATTTTGTAATACTGACAAACAGTAATCCTTTTTCACAAAAAGTCACGCTTTGATTTAAATAAAATACATACAAAAATCATGTAGTCTTCATCACCTTTCTACAGTGCCCAAGACAGCAATCTTATGTCTGTGGGTCTGTGATCTTTCATCTGCTAAAATACACAGGCTTCTCAAACTCAATTGGATTACATATTCAAGAGCAAAGACCTGGATTATATATTACCTCTAGTGCACCTTATTAAAACACTGAAGCCAATTTATTTACTGTTTATGAATGATAATAAATAATGATACTTCAGAACTTAAAAGTTACTAGCAGCCATGGCTTTGTTGCACAGCAAACACTATCAAAAAGCTCAGGGCAATATCAGTGCCACTTCCCATTCAGCTTTAATCATGCAGTCCTCAGACACGAGGTGCTTTCAGTGCACACCAGTGATACATCCATTCTTCAGTGTCACAGACAGCTTGCATCAAACCTTGCCAAGAGCTGGAAGGAGGTCACTCTGCAGTTGGTGCCACTGTTGTGCTTGATACTGCCGCCCAGGGACACCCTGCCCTCCTCCAGTTTGCCAGACAACAAGTATGTGTTATTCACTTGGCT